CTCAATCCAGAATAACAGACTGTGTTGTCTCTACTGTCAGAACTGGACCGGACCAGCCAGCAATCCTCCGGATCTGAGTTCATGGAAGTCAGAGACAAACCAGAAATACTTTCAACCAAGAAGAGCTCAGTGAGAGCTAAATGTCACCCAGGACACTGAGCTGACCTCCCTCAACCAGGCTGGTCTCAAGAGTTTGTCTTTAGCAGATCCAGCCCATGTGAAGCTGAACCTGAATGTGCTCTCAGACTGTAACATCAGCGCTCTGCCAAACAGAGAATGGATGAGACTCTGATGAGACAGGTCAGCTGACTCTGTCTGCAACAACATCACCTTTACTGCTTTACTCTTCTCCCTCACCTTCATCAGGATCAACAAGGTCAGACAGCAGACAGATCCACTCTTCCTCTCACTTTGTCATTGATTCACTGATGGCTGAGTTCACTCACATTTCATTTAGTCCACTCTCTAATCAGGTTTTGCTGCAGGAACCTTTCAAACCATATGACCAGTTATTGAGCTGGCAGAAAAGAGGCAGTGGAGCCAAAACAGGAACCTGATAAATCTGATAATTGAATATTGATCAGAAGAAAAATCTAAATGGTTCAAATAATATTGGGAAGAAGAAAATCTGAGAGTTTGGTTCTAGAACTTATTTGGTTCAATCATAAAAGTGACAAAGAAAACTTTGTTTTTGTGACTTCAGTCATCACAGCAAAGAGACAAAGTGGAAATCCCTGTCTGTGTGTCTAAAGATGAGCTGTGTTCCTGAGCTGCATGGATAGTGAGTTCACTGCATCCTTGAACATTTGAAAGCTTTAGAGACACAGGAAGTAAACCCGTCAACATCACTGCAGTGATCATCTGAACCATTGATAAAAAATCATCAACATTCAATCAACAAAATAACTCACAGTGCTCATTTTCCTCCATCTGTATCTGACTGCTGATTCAATAAAAACTATGAATTTATGTGAGTAAGAAGAAAGTTCTGGAAATATTCAAGAATTATATGAACATTTGAATTGGGTTAAAAAAACTGAATAAACATAAAAATCTACACCAGAAACAGACAAAGACTAAACTTACCCCAGAGTCTCCAGTTTACAGTTTGGACTCTGCAGAAAGTCACACAGCAGCTTCACTCCTGAATCCTGCAGATTGTTTCCATTCAGGTCCAGAAATCTCAGATGGGAGGGGTTGGACTTCAGAGCTGAGGCCAGAGAAGAAAAGCTGATCTCTGACAAACTGCAGTTATACAGTCTGAAAAAAAGAAAAAAATCATTTAACCTCTGAAGAAACTGTTCCTGCTTTTAATGATTCAATGTTCTTGAGCCCCTGAAGGACATGGAAGAAGAACTTTTTCAGAGTTGATCTTGAGGAACTTTGTAAAATCCTCTCTAAGCTTTTTGAAGATCCAGAGGAATTTTTCAGTCGAGAAAATTTTTAAGATACAGAAAACTTTAGTGAGATCCTCAGAAACTAATGTGAGAAATCTCAAAGTTTTTTTTGTAGTCCTGAATTCTTCATGAAGATTAAAATAGTCAGGAGTAGATTCAGGGCTCTGTCCGTCTGCTGTCAACAACTGACAAACTACTCGTAAATAAACCAACAGATCATTGATCAGAGAGGTTTTTATGGACCAACTGGACAAGATGATGTTCATGTTCAACAAACTGAAGTGAAAACTGCAGAAAAATCTGGATCTGGTTTTTACATCTGAACACGACTGAGTAAAGAAGAAATTCAAGTTTTCAAGAGTTTCCAAATGAAATATCCAGAGTTGGATTAACTTTGTTCTTCAGGTTTCAATCTGCAGCTCATCATTTCTCTGACGCTTCATTCATTCATTAGTGATCACATTAACTGTGGATCAGTTCAATATCAGCCTTTAGTCTGTGCTGCTCCTGCCCTCTACAAGCATGTGTAGTATTTGTGGGACTGATTTTCTCCTGCTTCCTTTCTACATCCATCGTTCTCCTCAAAGTCAACTCTGAAATGTCAGATTTTTCTTCCTTTGTTGAAGTTTTACAACGACAAATTCAAACTGCTCGACCAAAGTTGATGGAAAAACCACAGAGAAAAATCTAAGGCAGAAACTGTCACATCTTATTGTTAGATCAGAAGGAAATGGTGTCTCACTTCAGAGTCTCCAGTCTGCAGTTTGGAGTCTGCAGTCCTGCAGAGAGAAGCTTCACTCCTGAATCCTGCAGTTTGTTTAAGGTCAGGTCCAGATGTCTCAGATGGGAGGGGTTGGACTTCAGAGCTGAGGCCACAACTTCACAATGAGTCTCTGAGAGTCCACAGTTAATAAATCTGTAACAACATAAATATCAAACAATATTTCATTAAAGGGTAATTTGATGTTTCTCTTCACCAAAAACAACTGAAACATGATCTTTGGTTTGACAGACGGCCTGTTTTTAACCAGACAGATACTAATATCAGGACCACAGCCATGAGAGAAGACAGGAAGTCAAAGTTTAGAAGAAAAAAAAACTGTTCAGATGTTCAAGACAAATGACTCCATGACTTATTTTAGTCCTTCTGTTCTCTAACAGTGTTGTCTTCATGTTAGTGCAGCTGGATCATTATGACTGTGTGAATTCTTGAGTTCTGGTTGGAGAAGGGGACTGAGAACCAGGTTTTTGGTCCTGGTATGTGATTGGTTAGTATCCAAAGTACCTCTTGGAGAATCAGTGCTCCTCTCAGTCCTTAATGTTGACATCCTGCTATAATGTAAGTCTTTCCATAGACACTGACTGTTGACCAATCAGAGGACGACTCACTAAATCACAGCAGCTCCTTTTTCTACGATTGGTTCAGATCAAATCGTTTTTTAGCAGGTTAGAGCTGGTTTGACTCTGAACATTTGAAGAGTTGATGATTTCTTTGTTTTCACAATCAAAGTTTTTTCTCCATGTATCTCTAGGGGGCGTACGTTCTCATGACTCCTGTAAAAATAACAGATTGAATTTTGATAGTTTGTGTGTTTCATACAGAAAGAAACATTTGGAGTCAGAGGAAATAAAACAGATTCATCTTTGAAGATATTTTCTTGACTTTTTTAAATGTTCAAACTAAATCATGAAGTGAGGTATCAATAATGAGTCCTGATAATGTCAACATGGAGGATCAATATGGGTACCTGTATTAATTCAACCTAATGACAGTCATGCTAGTTTGGGTCAAAAACTGACTTTTCTGCTCCCTAAAAAAGTCTGTCTTGTTAGTCCTTTAGACCTGGTTCAGTCTCACAGACTCAGACCTGGATCAAACCCCAGTCTGCTGCAGTGTTTGTTCAAAGGCTGTTTCAGCAGAAGGCATCAGTCTGACCAATTTACATCAATATCTTAAACAGAGGCATGCAGCCGAGTGGGAGAAATGTGACCGCTACAGCCCACCAACACCTCAACATTAGAGGAATCATCTTCACTCTGCATCACCATGACAACAAAGGGACACCATGAAAAAATGATGATGATGATGATGCAGTCACACTGCTTCTCCTTAGAGACATGGTGTCCATATACACAGTGGAAGAGCACGGCTGTTTCCACATGCTATGAGGTGTTATGAGGCAGACTAGTGTCAGTGCCAACCTGCAGCACCGAGGGCAAAGAGAGAGAGAGAGAGAGAGAGAGAGAGAGAGAGAGAGAGAGTCATTACCATCCTATTTCCACCATTGTTTTCAGACACATGGAGCTGCTGTCCAAATAACTCCTGTGTTCTCATCATTCATATGTTCTAGTCCACCAGATAATCTCCAGTGAGTGGTGGAAAATGATGTTAGTTTTCATGGTTGTATTGATGATGAATACTGAATGATGAACATGATGGTACAGAGACAGTTCTGCCACTGTGTAGAAAATGATCCAGTTCTATTTTCACCATCAATGCTGTCAACACCCTCATTTACAACAGATTCATCATTTCCAACCTGAAAACCAGCAGGAAGAAGCTGCAGACACCTTCTTCAAACTCAAGTTCACCACAACTGACTGAGATGTTGATCTGGACTGATACCATCATCAGAAGACCTCTGTGTGGCCTCAGATATGGTCGCTGATTTGTCCTGAAAGTTCCACTTTATTCATTACAGACACGATTAAAAACAAAGAGGTCCTCCACAATCAGGACAAGTTCTCAGGGGTCCACAGGTAGACCTCATCCTGGGCTCATAGGACTTTAGACACCAGGATCATGTTTTTGCTAAAGAAACCCCCTCCCTGATATTTCAGTTGATTTCTATTTGAAGAAGAACATCATCAGTAACGTGGACATTGGAAGAACTACAGGGATCATTTACACTATTCTGAGAATAAAACCTGGACTTACACGGCCTTTCTGCAGTTCCTCACAGCTGGGATCAGTCTCTGTTTCCCCTGGTCTGATGTGTTATACTTCTGTGAGTCCAACTCATCCAGAACCTCCTCTGACATCTGCAGCATGTAGGCCAGAGCAGAGCAGTGGATCTCTGAGAGTTTCTTATATCTGTTCTCTGACTTCAGGAACTCTTGAATCTCCTGATGAACTGACAGATCGTTCATCTCCATCAGACAGTGGAAGATGTTGATGCTTCTGTCAGGAGAGATATCTTCTCTGTTCATCTCCTTCAGGTTGTTGATGACTCTTTGGATCATTTCTGGACTGTTGTCTGTGTGACCCAGCAGCCCTCCTAAGAGTCTCTGGTTTGACTCCAGAGAGAGTCCATGAAGGAAGCGAACAAACAGGTCCAGGTGACCGTTTTTACTGACAAGGGATTTCTCCATGACATTCTTCAGGAAGACATCCAGAGATGAGAGACAGTTATCCAGGTTTTTAAAAGATCTGGAAACCCTCTTTAAAGAAGACATTTTGTCTTTGTCTTTGTTGCCTCTTAGGAAACTCTTCAGAACTTTTGTGTTCCTGTTTGTGAAACTGTGGATCATGTAGACTGCAGACAGAAACTCCTGAACACTCAGATGAACGAAACAGTAAACGGTTTTCTGGAAGATCACACTCTCTCTTCTGAAGATCTCTGGACAAACTCCTGAGTACACCGAGGCCTCTGAGACATCCAGACCACACCGCTCCAGGTCTTCTTGGTAGAACATGATGTTTCCTTTCTCCAGATGTTCAAAGGCCAGCCTCCCCAGCTTCAGGAGGACTTCACTGTCAGCCTCCGTCAGCTCCTGAGGACTTGTCTCATGTCCTCCTTCATACTTCTGCTTCTTCGTCTTAGTCTGGACCAGCAGGAAGTGTGAGTACATGTCCGTCAGGGTCTTGGGCAGCTCTCCTCTCTGCTCTCTGCTCATCATGTCCTCCAGAACTGTAGCAGTGATCCAGCAGAAGACCGGGATCAGACACATGATGTGGAGGCTCCTGGAGGACTTGATGTGTGAGATGATTCTTCTGGACAGATCTTCATCTCTGAACCTCTTCCTGAAGTACTCCTCCTTCTGGGCGTCAGTGAAGCCTCGTACTTCTGTTACCCTGTCCACACATGAAGGAGGGATCTGATTGGCTGCTGCAGGTCGAGAAGTTATCCAGATGAGAGCTGAGGGGAGCAGGTTCCCCTTGATGAGGTTTGTTAACAGAACGTTCAGTGAAGACTTCTGTGTGACGTCAGACACCACCTCAGAGTCTGTGAAATCCAGAGACAGTCTGCTTTCATCCAGACCGTCAAAGATGAACAGAAGTTTACAGACAGCCAGCGTCTCTGCTGTGACCTTCTCTAGTGTTGGATGGAAAACATGGAGCAGACTCAGAAGACTGAAGCGCTCATCTCTGATCAGGTTCAGCTCCCTGAATGAAAGCAGGATCACCAGATTGAGGTCTTGGTTCTCCAAACCCTCTGCCCAATCCAGAGTGAACTTCTGCACTGAGAAGGTTTTTCCAACACCAGCCACGCCGTTGGTCAGAACCACTCTGGCCACTTCCTGTTGACCTGGTAAGACGCTAAAGATCTCATGACACTTGATGGGCGTGTCATGGAGGGTCTTCATCTTTGAAGCTGTCTCCAGCTGTCTCACCTCATGTTGTGTGTTCACCTCTTCACTCAGTCTCTCTGTGATGTAGAGCTCAGTGAAGATCCTGTTGAGGAGGGTTTGACTACTTCCTGTTCCATCACTTCCTTCATTCACACGTTCACATCTCCTCTTCAGACTGATCTTATGTTCATCTAAAACCTCCTGCAGACCGCCATCTTCTGAAAGAGAAGAAAAATCAAATGAACCAAACTGCTCAACACGAAAACGTCTTTGTGAAAATCAGTCAGCTGAGTTTTCATCCACAGAGACTTTAGAGGACAGATGTTCAGACTTACTTCCATCAGAGCTGAGATATCTGGACAGCTGCTCCTCCACAGAGTCACATCTCTGTGTCTCTCTGTGGAAATAAAGAACATTTATTTTCTTTATCGTTTCATGTTTGAAAGATACAGAATAAGAAGCATTTATTAAACCAGAGTTTCTGACCTCAATCTTTTCTCTAACATAAAACAATCTCCTGTAAAATATTCAGCTGCTGCTGCTTGAAAGTGTGGAGACAGGAGAAAAACTAAACTGGGATTTTGGTTGTTTTTATGAAGGTAGAGAGATTTTCTCTGACAGTTTAAAACATTTTTTTGACCAATCAGATCTGAAGGTCTAATAACAGACTGATGCTTTGAATTTGTTTCCATTTCTCAGGATTTATTTCTTCATTGGTCTTCTGGTATTTTGTGACCCACAGACTGTTTTCTGGGGTCTATACACCACAGTCCAAAGACTTACAGGCTCAAAACGTCCCAAACACAGGAACCAAATCAGAAAATACAGAGGTCAGAATCCTTTTCAGATGCTGTTTTATACAACCTTCATTTTTATAAACATGATGAATAATAAGTAAATCTGTGCTCAGTGACTTTTTCTTCACCAGCCCTTTATCCAGGTTGGAGGTTAAAGAGGAAAATCACTGTTTTGAGAGCAGAGGAGATCATTTTTCTTACCATGGTAGAAAACAGAGGGGTCAGAATTTAAAGTTTTGTTTTTGAAATATAAATTGTTGTTGTTTGAGAGTTTGGTGGGTGAAAAGTGTTTCTCTTACTGTAAATCTGAGGGTCCTGGTTCTTTACTGAAGTGTATAGGAGGATGTTTTTCAGACCCGTCACTCTTCATAGACAGACAGTCAGACATGACAGACTTTGCTCTGTCCTCCTCTTCCTCGACACAAATACTCATCTTCTCCATCTTCTGTTGTGCAAATTTATGGAAGATGAAACCGAGTTATACAACCTGAGGACAAAGTAGACAAACAGGTGAGACACAAACAGGAAGAGAGTGTTCAATGAAGATGATCAAGTTTCTACATCTTATTTTGTCAACAATCTGTCTGCACACTATCTCGCTCTCTTTTTTGAATCATAAAGGTCCTGATCGGTTATTTCTTATCCAGTCTAACATGATCAAGTCTAAGAGTCTGAAAATCATATTTCTGTATAAACCTTGACGATGCAAGAACTTTGTACTATCAAGTATTCTTGAATGTTAAATTATTGTTTTATTCTTGACTGATTCTTCTTTTTAACCGGCTACAGAAAACAAAGCTGCTTTAGAGTTTAATTTAACTCTTCTCAATCATTTACTTTAAAGGCTGAATGTCTCTGGTTCAAACAGAGAGGAACATAAATGTGACGGTTTTTGGCTGAACTCCGAGAATGTGGTGATTTTCTGCTCTGTGCCTAAAACTCAGGAAGCTCATACTTGATACTACACCAGAGAAAAACATCAGTTATACTCTGTGATGCTGGTTTGGTACACAGCTGTACTAATATTACACACAAACATACAACGCCTTAGTTGTTATTTCCATCCCCTCATTATTTTCAGCCTCTAACTTACCTGCTCTCTGTTCTTCGATCTCAGCATTATAGACACTGGTTCATTTATGATCAGTCCTTCAGCAGTTATTAAATGTATTTTACATTCAGAGGTATTTAGTCCCCATCTCTTTAAGGTTTGCTTTGCCTCTAATGATGGGCTGTCTGTTATATGACCCTTTTACTGTAAATGATTCATTTATTGTCCTGATCTTTTACAGTCCTGCACTGAATACTGTTCATACAAAGACTTTGGACCTTAGATATAATCTGATAGGCTTATATTTAACTGCAATAAAGGTACTTTGGACCAGAAGATAAAACAACAGCATGAATACCTTTACAGTATTTGAAAAACAACCTTTGGTCAACTTCAGCTGTTTTATTGTGACTGTATTCAGTGATAATGTTGGTTTGAGGTTACAGGTGTTATTGTAGTATCTGAAAAACTTTCACTACAAACTTTAATACCATACACCCAGACCTGTACTCTCCTAAACTCCTCTGAGTCTGAAAAAGCAGTAATGATGGCTGTGAGCTCAGAGAAGTGATTCCTGACAGAAAGTTCAAAGGTCTGTCAGAGTTTGAAATAACCTGTTTGGATCAGTATCCACAGCATTAGTTTGGATTTCTCCCCCTCATCCTTGTCTGACTCACAATGTAAAGATAATCGGTGAAATCTGTTAAAGCTCACGAAAATATGAGGTGGATTTTGGGCTCATCTCACCAAAGGCAGAAAAACAGAGTTTACTGGACAAGGAATCAATCTGGGAACGTATCTGATCAATTTTCTCTGCATAGCTTTTTTTAAGTGTATAATAAGCAATAACACTTCTGATAAATGACAGACTGAAAACCAAACAGTAACACTGAATTAACACTCACCCTGTTACAAGTGTCCTCTCTGTGCTGAGTCACTCTGAAGTCTGAGCTTTGAACACTTTTAGTTTTATTGTTTTATTGCAAAGTTTCTCCTCCCCTTGATTTTGACAGGAAATAACAAGTGTTACTATTTACGAGTGAAGAAAACCGTTCCCTGATCGCCAAATTGCACAGACATCCATGAACTACATACTGTATTATTATTATTAGATCATAAAGTTATCAGATTTACTGCATTTACTACTGAGTGGGGGTGTAGTAGGGATATGGCTCAACTAACCCCATACACAGGGTAAGTTGACCATAGGAGACCACTTTGTTTGAATGCTATATTATCAAGACAGTTATGTTCACACTCATTCTGTTGGTTTGCAGGGATGAACAACATCTTGAAATATATGCAGATACACTAGTTAGAGACAAAACTATGATTGTCTTGATGTAGAGATCCGAAATATAAAAAAAGGCTCATCTTACCCCACTCTCCCCAAAGTTTCAGTAACAACAGAAACTTGTATGGTTGCGTCTCCGTTTATTGTTAATGCAGCAGCGCCACCCGCTGGTTAAACTAACAAACTACCAGATGAGCGCTCCTCTCCCAACAGCTCGGTCTCACTTAGAGGCAAAGCAAACGATAGCATGGAGCCCCACGCCACTAGGGCCCCCCCCCCCAGGGCTGACGGACTTGACTCCACAATAATGTCCTAAAATGATGAAACTGCAGTGACCTACTTTATCAATCCCATCAAACAACCGGTAGTCAAACTGCAATGACATCTCAGGCGGATACCCCCCTAAAGGGCCCCCGCGTCATCCCTTTCTCGCTGCTACGTGACCTCCGTCCACTAACTTCAGTGAAGAGCATCAACCAGAGTAACGTCGAAGTCAGCCATGCTAAATGAAGCGGAGCTACTTGTTAGGAAACGAGAAAAGAAAGAGAGGAAAAGCGGAAAAACAAAGAAGAATAAAAGACAGCGGTAAGTGGAGCAGATAACGAAGTGTAACGAACACTTGTTGAAGGCCGGCTGTTCATTGTTTAATAGTTAGTTAGCCTTGTTAGCGGAGCAGGAGACGTTAGCCCGTGGTTCCCGCTCCGACGGCTCGCCGTTATTGTGTGTGTCGACACACCCGCACGCGACTGTCTTGCGAGCTTTGCTAACAACTAGCCGACAGAAAGAAAGTATGCTACGTACAATAGAGAAATTTCAAGTAATTAGGACACCGGTAGTGTTCATGTGAATATATGAGCTTAACATGACAAATCCCCATTATCAAGCTTCACACGGACAGTGATGTAATGAACACAAACATTAGCATAAATGGAAAAAAGGAACAACTTTGGCTCCTGTCATTTACTCACTTGAAATATCACCTCTGAATCAAAGGTGGGAAAAGGAGAAGGAGGGATGTGTAGCAGGTGCACAGAAAATTCTTGAACTATCAGCAAATGAACTGCATGGAAACTTAAGTACAGAACATGAACTCACGTGAACTCTCCTCGCTCGTGAACAAGAACCTGCGATCTATCCCATTCTTAACCATCACCCTATACCACAGTGGTGTCGCCTACCCCGGGCTTTCTTGGCTCTAACCCCAAACATGTCTTAAACAGGCCTGGATACATTTTTGTTTACCTCTAAAGAAATTAAACGAAGTAGATAGTTCTGTAATTTCCCAGTTTCAGTAAATGCAACAGGCACGACACCATGACCAATCAGAGAGGAGATGTATGGAGGCAGGAAATCATCCGTGTGTTTTTGGCTGACAGGTGTCTATCTAATCTGAACTCTGATTGTGTTTCGAGCGGTTTTGAGTCGTCACATGAACGGAAACATGGACGACATCAGACGTTTTTTTTCTCTGACAAAGAAAGACATTTCTGCAGTCCCTGGATCTCAAGTGTCTGAGCAACCACCGAAACAGGTAAACAAACAAGTCATTTCAACCCTCTATGTCTTCAAAATTATGTGAACATTAGACAGATCAGTCATGATGGTACATGATAATTTGAGGATTGAGTTAGCCGAACCGTTAGCCCTGCCTTCTTCCTGTGTCATATATGTAGATATGTAGAACCATATATACATAGATTGAGTATTCAACCTAAGGTATATGGTTACCTGTATTTAGGCCTGTCACGATAACAAATTTTGCTGGACGATAATTGTGCTACAAATTATCGCCGATAAACGATATTATTGACACCATTTTTTAAATTATAGATAATGATATTATATGGCATAATAATGCGAGTACACCATGTCAAAAGTGATAAACTTTAATTTCCACACGAGAACAACACTGGTTGTTTTCGTTGACTAAAATATTTCCCTTTTCTCCCACGACGAAGACGTAACGTTGACGAGCTAAACATAAGTCGGAGATGACTAAAATGTGACGAGACGAAAGTGCGTTTACGTTGATGGGACGAGACGAAAATGACGAACAGAGTTGCAAACTCAGTCAGTTAAACGCTAAACATATAGGAGCAGCTTCAGTCCGCTCTGACAGCTCTCATCAGCCTGCGGTGCTCCTCCAACACACAGACACACACGCACGCGCGCGCGCACACACACACGTGGAGTTTTGTGGTTGACGAAAACAAAACTGGTTTAAAGCCGAAATATTCCCACACTTGGGCTGTTGCGTTCGGTTTAGACACCAAAGCTGTCGTGTTCATTCTGTTAGCTTGCTTTTCACTCACAACGCTCACTTGCAGCACTGTATCCAAAAAGTCTGTGTCTGTGTGCCTGTGCGCGCCAGCCCCCTCGTGACAAAGAGACTGAATGACTGACAGGAGGGTTCACTAACTCCGTTCATTCCGCTATAGAGCCAACGCCCCCAGGTGCCGAGAACAATGCGCAGAGTGAGACCTCTTCTCTCATCCAGCGTGTTTGGTAGCGAGAGAGGAGGAAAACAAACGCACGTCAATTATCGAGGCTGGCAAAGTTATCGACCTCGTTTTTATTTATCGAGCGATAAGGCGATTTATTGATTATCGCGACAGGCCTACCTGTATTTATCGTGTTGGTGCAACTGAGAGCTGAACTGTAAACAAACATAAAGCATAAATAAAATCATAAGTAAACAGGAAAGGCAGCTGTAATTTGTGTATTCAGTTATTCATGTAAAGATTCATCAATGTGATCATCATTTAAGATTCGACTACTTGATAAAAATGTCGCAACATTTGACGGGTTAATGTACTGTAAATGCTTAACTACCATAAAGTTAAGTGACTATTCCTGTGGCTTTGCATTTCCATGGATTTACTCGAGAATATGAAGCTTTGTCATTGTTTTGTATTCTGTATTTACCATATACACAAATAATTGCATACAGGCATAAAATGCAATTATCCAGATAGGAGAAATGTAATCAATTTTAACTTCTGAGTTAGATCTGTTGAACTTTACAACAAAAACTATACAAGTGAGCCCGTTTCCCTCAGTAAGTTACCCTTTAGGACGATTTATGTTTCAGTGGTCAGTTCCCTATTTATGATTAACTTTTGTAACGTCTACTATGATAAAGAAATCTAATTCTATATTCTGTTTACTGATGACCCTGACCTGACAGAGAATGAGAAGGAACCAACAACAGACACGAACCAAGAGGAGACAGAGGGAGAAGATAAAATAGACAAATGAAGAGGACGACCAGAACACACGAGAGGTAACACGTAGCACTCAACTGAGTTGGGGACTGCAGACACAGGGCCAATGCAGCATTCAGCTTTGTTTCTAGATTATATGGTAAACCAAAACAAGCAAGGCCAAAAAAAATGTGCTCACCACCACCAGAAATTGCAAGAATTTTAAAGGCAACTTGAGGTAGGGGGCAGGCAACTTGTTCATTTTTCAAAGACTCGCTGGGCGTGTCAGATTAAAAGTGTGAAGGCCACTTTACAAAACCTTCCTGCTTTGATCCAGACTTTGGGGAGCATTTCAGCACCTCTAACTAGGGGGCGATTCAGCACCATCTAGATGCTTGTCATGTTTCAGACATTACTCTCAGTAACTCAGGGCCTGCATAAATACTTGCAGAAAGAGACAATTGACTGGGTGCAAGCAATGGAATATATAAAAAGGCAGTTCAGAGCACTCATTTAAAAGTTACAGGAGCAATGACAAAGCACATGAAATCTATGACCAGACCACAGCTTTAAGTGAAGATCTTTAGATCCATTCTTGACAGGCATACAGGCATGTCAGCCTGCTTCAGAGCATTTTCTGAATGAAGAGGCACTCAAACATCTGGCTGAATGTTACACCGCCTAAAGAAAAGGATATGTTCCTCTCCCTAAAGCTTCCTTGACAACCCCAGTTACCAGCTGCAGTTGCAAAAGCTCTTTCAGTTCCCTCAGTTGACTAGACACATAGCTAAGGAATACAATGGGTCAGGAGCAGGTAAGTAATTTGACTACAGTGTCAATTGAGAGGGAGATGTTGGCCAGCTTTGACCACGGCGAGGTCATAGATTGATTTTCCAAGCTAAAAGGAAGGCGTTTCAACCTAAAGGGGCGTTCAGACCAAACGCGACGCGACCTGGTCGCGTCGCTTTGGTCGGTCGCGTCGCCGGGTGCTCTGGTGTGTTCACACCGGGTCCAAAGCTGCAGTCGCAGGTCGCGGCTGGTCGCCGGTGACGTCATCCATGTCACTAGCTCAGTTTTCAGTTCATCAGTGCTGCCGCATATCTGTACATCCGCAGTAGACGCCGCCGGCGTTTATGGGTGCATGAAACCATCCGGGGGAGGACGGAGCTGGGTGAATTTCACTGCTTGCTCCAGGAACTCCGCCTGGACAACGGCCGCTTCCAGCGGTATTTCCGTGTGTCGACGGCGCAGTTCGAGGACCTCCTCGCCCGGGTGGGAAGCAGCATCTCCCGCCTGGACACGAAATACAGGCGCTCCATCTCAGCTTCGGAACGCCTGTCTATCTGTCTGTCCCTCATATAAACGCCCCTAAGCCCCTTCCACCGCTTGCGGCACACATCCACTGCAAAGACACACACACATACGTTAAAACATGTAGCCTAGCAAGCAGGCGCAGTTAGCTATGTTTTCATAAAACAGTCCGCTCACTGAAATAAATAAATAAACAAACAAGCTTACCAGAAAGCCCGACATCACGGGCCACCTTCCCCCATGCTTCTTCTTTGGCGTTGCGGTCCCGGTACAGCCCGCAACCCACGTCGTATAGCACCGGGTGGTAGCTAACGGATGTGATTAACTGCTCCTCCATTGTGATTCTTCTTCTCCTCTTCCTTGTTTCGCTGGTTTGTTGACGTCAGCAGAGCCCTGATTGGCTGTCGCGGCACGGAGTCGCTCCCAAAGTTCGAATATTTGAACTTTGGGAGTGACGCGACTTGGCGTCCTGCGACCTCGGCGACGCGACCTCGGCGATGCGACCTTGGCGACCGGTCGCTAGGTGGCGTCAGGTCACGTCGCAGGCAGCCGGCGGTCGCCAAGTCGCGTCAGGTCGCGGCTGGTCTGAACGCCCCTTTACACTTCCACATTCACTAAACCAAACAGAGACCATGCAGCAGATGATGGATGAAGAGAAATGATGGAAGCAAATGATAAAGGGAGGGAAGAGAGAATTGGGGGATGATGACGATGATGAAGATGATGATGGGGATGGGAAAGCAGCAAGTGATGGAGGGAAAACAGGAAGAAAAAGGAGGAAAACAAGTGATGGAGCCTGTAAGGAAAGACAGAAAAGACAGGATGGGATGTTGAAGAGGTACAGTAAATACTGCAGCATGATCTTTCTTTCTGAAAACTTATGTGACTGAAAACAGTTTATCTTTTCTCCAGAAGATGTGTGACAGAGAGACAGAAAGTCATGGGTGGAAAAAGCAGCACAGTCTGGAAAGGTACAGCACCACACTGGATGACATCCATCTGAAAATTGTCTGAGTGAAAATAAAGAAAGAAAACCTAAAAAGCATTTTATTCAGAGAAAAAGAGCAACCAACTAATACTTGTGCTTATTCTTGAATTTAGTATTGACTTTCCCTTCAGGGATCAATGAAGTTCTTCTATTAGGAAAAGAAAAATGAAAACAGTTGTTACGTATTTACCTATTGAGGGTGTTGGCTCAGCCCCCAATGTTCCCAGGTCCACGAAATGCCCCTGACATGATCTCTTAACTCTTTCTACCGGAGTAGCTGTGAGAGACATAATATTCTACTGCTGCAGAAAAAAACGACGTGTTAGTTTGTCTTGTTTCTGAAGCTAGAGATGATTTAAGCTGTGTGAGATGCTGAAACTGTACAGAAGCTCAATTAACACTGAAATTATTTGTACTGAAGCCCTGAGCAGACAAACATCCGTACGCAATTATTCCCCACACAGCCATGATCATTTAATAAATATAAAATCAAACCAGAGAAAGCACTAGCTTTAGTTTCTCAGTTTGATCAGCAGGTGCTGCTACTGCACCTATAATGAGCTCCGACTCGAACTTGATGAAAAACAAAAGTAGTCGAGTTTTTACATGTAGGAGACTTTAGTGTTGTGTTCAGGGACACAAGGATCACTGAGGACATTAGAGTCGTGTGTCCTTGAGTTTAAACTGTTGAAATTTAACTTTTGCAATCATAAATTCAATATTGAATCAAACGTTTCAGTGATGTTTCTCCGTAACTTTGTGAACAAATTAAATTATTGTTTCTTGTTTATTTGTCTCATTATATTGAAAACACGGCATCAACTGTTAAAAATCCTCTTTTTAATCTGGAAAACCATAAAGTGTACCGTCATATTTAAAAAATAAAACTTTATTTTCATGGAGAACATTTATTTCTGTTTTACAATAATTCAGTGAAATGAAGATTTACAAAGTTGTGAGCTGTCCTGGCTTCTGATTGGACCTTTACAGGTCAGCTGATGGCAGATACAGCCTCTGATTGGCTAACAACAGAAATGACACTTTGTTACTGACATCAATCCATAAATTATTATACTATTTTCATTTTGGAGGGATGGGGTCAGGAAGGTCTCTGAAAACACACTGATCTTCTCTGTGGGATAGAAAAGCTTTGGAGTGTCACAGAAACACAGACTTATCTCCTGATAGCTGACGGTCTCACAAAGCCAGTGGATTTTACAGAAAGTTACTCCACTGTAGCATCAATTTATGAAACTGAGATTGTAATCAACAACACTGAGTTTATAAAACGGCATCGACCACGTTAATGACTTCACCCTGAATAGATGCTGATCTCACTTTTTCAATACGTTAATGTTTGTCTGTCAGAGGAAAACTTCTCCATCATAATAAACTAAATTAAGTTTTTTTGTTCAAGAATCTTTCCTTTGACTGATTATGTTTAACACATTTCACTTTTAGATTCAGGTCTTATTTATGGTTTAATAATTGTGTTTGTTCATCCAAACAGAAGGGAATCGATTATTGATGAGCACAAAGATTATACAAGAACAAAAACATATAAAGAGAAAGAAAATAATGTCTAATAATATAAAATAAGGTCAATCAACCTCCACCAAATATTTACCACCATTTCAGAAAATTAAAAAGAAAACGGATGAATAAATAAAAGAAAGTGAAAGAATAAATCTTCTGATTTTCCTGAAAACCCCAAACCCTGTCCTCCTCCCTTCACCTCCATCTCTCCTCACTTCTCTTCCTCTCCCTTCAGTTTATATTTGGTCTCTAACGGTGCAAAGGAAAGAAAAAACCTTTTATCAGAACTTCTGACTGATCTACTCTCACACATGGTATCAACTCCTGCTGCAGAAATGTGTGGGAATAAATCAACTCCACCTCTTTATATTTCCACTGGGTGGCGCTGCATCATTGGCAAAGGAAAAAGTAATCCAATCGAAGTGTAAATTTACGATCATGTTTCCATAAACAAACCAGTTCAGACTGTTTGATCCCAGAATATGAGGGAAAATATCAAATATCCAGAGTCCAGGTCCTGAGCTGATCTCAGAGCAGGTCAAAGTGCAGCTCCCAGAGTCCTCTCCGCCCGCTGTGATTGGTCAGTCAGTCTCTCAGTAACACGGCCCAGTCAGAGACTCACCTCACCCTCACTGCTGCTGCCTCCACCTCTCTGATCGTCAGGAAACAGATGATCCTCTTCATAATCACTCTGACAGAAGTGGCCTCCATCTGAGGGGAGAAAAAAAGACGATCAGTGTTTCCACTCTGAGACTCACTTCATCAGCTGGACTGAAGAACATCCAGTTTACAGACCAGCAGGTTTCCTCACAAATAAACCAACATCATCAATATAAAGAAATCCTTCCTGTCAAATGTGTTAAAGCTGATCGAACAAACCTGCTGTGAAAATAACAAGTATAAAGAACAGCTGTCTGTTTTCAAACTTAGAGGTCAAAATCAACAAGTTAGCAGAGAAATAAAGTCTGTGTTGAAAACAGAGAACTATAAACTGGACTTCAGAGCAGAAACTGAACATTTCTGTTTCATTATGTCTCATTTCTACATTTGATCTGAAATATAGAGACGAGGAGACACTTTTTTCATCACTGACACTCTTACACTCCTGGTTTGATGATTTCTGTTCTCACAGCTTCACAAAAGAAAGACTCCTTTGAGAGGGTCGAAGAGTCAGCAGGAAATACTGAATATCTGCTGTGATACTGTGTGGAGTGGAACAGGAGAGATCAGCACAGACTAACTCCAACTCTATACTGACCTCAGAGTCTCCAGTCTGTAGTCTGGACTCTCCTGAAGATCACACAGCAGCTTCATTCCTGAATCCTGCAGATTGTTGAAACTTAGGTCCAGAGTTTTCAGGTGGGAGGGGTTGGACTTCAGAGCTGAGACCAGAGAAGAACAACTGATCTTTGTCAAACTGCAGCTCCTCAACCTAAATAAAGAGGAAATAATGAGATTTTAGAGAAAAATGATCCAGTTTGAAATCTAATGTCTTAAATCTGTAGAGTTCAGGGGAAAGATTTGGAAAGTATGAATCAAAGAAAAGTGACGCTCCAAAGAGCTGAACCAAACAGGAAGTCAGTTTGAAACAGTGAATTCAAAAACACATGAAATAGTGAAAAACAAACTCGGAGACTTTTTTACTGATTGGAGATGCAGCTCAATATTTTCAGAAAATGTCAGCGACTTCAGGATGGATGGGAAATAAAGGATGTTCAGAATATTTTCACTTTGCTGAACCAAAAATATCACGTCTTTGAGGGGCAAATATTTCAGTCTAAACACAGCAAGGCTTCAGAAAAGTGCAGATAAACCATCAAATTCAGATTTTCACACAAAGATTTAAAAACAATCAAAATTCAAAGTAACAGAGCTGGACTTTCATCAGTGTCAGAAACTAAACTCTGAGTTTTTTCTATTCCCTGATCTTGTCCTGAACAAAAGTTTGAATGGTTCTCGTCTGACAAATCTCCCCCTGCTTCTGTTTTCTGTCTGAATGTGCTTCTCACTGTGAACTCTACAAAGAGTTTTCTTCTTGGGTTCAGGTTTTAATTCACTGGAGCTCAGCAGTGATCTAACTGGAGTCAATCACATAATCCACTGATGCAGAAAATCTACTCTGGACTGAAGGTGTTCAGTCTGGGTCAGTATTTCAGTCCTGAGTCAGCAGTTTAGTGTCATCATCACAAACAAATCATGATAATGTTTGAATGGAGGAAAAAAGTCTCACTCTAGAGTCTCCAGTTTACAGTTTGGACTCTGCAGAAAGTCACACAGCAGATTCACTCCTGAATCCTGCAGATTGCTGTTACTCAGGTCCAGATGTCTCAGATGGGAGGGGTTGGACTTCAGAGCTGAGGCCAGAGAAGAACAGCTGATCTCTGACAAACTGCAGCCACACAGTCTGAAAAAAGGAAAAAGAATGAAGATAAAAATAATAATCAAACTTCAGGTGTTCAGGTTTAAAACATGGAGCTTAGAGAACTCCAACAGGAGACCTTTGGACCAGATCCAGTCTGTCAGAGCTCATTATCTGGTCTGCTCTGACCCTCCATGTAAAATAACAGACAAGACATCAGATGTGATGGAGCACTGGTTTGGATTAGAGGTTCAGGTGTTCAGAAGGTAGAGTCCTTGTTGCAGCAGTTGCTGGTTGGACTCCCATGATCCTTTGCTGTAAGTCAGGGGTGTCAAAGTCAAATGGACGGAGGGCCAAATAAAAAATTTAGCTACAAGCCGAGGGCCGGACTGATCGAATGTTCATTGAAAATTTTTTAAATGACGCATATAGTCTTGTGAACCTAATTGAACCTACTGAAAACTTAACAAATATATTCCAATATGATCAGATAAATAAAGAAATATTTTCTTATGGCTCTGTCAGTAATCTTTAATTTTCAACAGACACAAAAGACAAATTTCCTTTATATAAAAATCCCCATAACATGAACATTAAATGAAAGAAACCGGTATTATTCAAGGCACCATCAGTAGCCTATATTTTCTATTTTAGCAAAAGTGGGCTAAATTTACTTCAAAGAAAAAAATAATAATAGCAATTTTCTACCATCCACTCAACTGAAATATTTTTAAAATATCGTTTTAATTCCTCGGCCTTCTGTAGCCTTTGTTCCATGTCCATATTCTTGTTTTTGTCCGCGTGTTTCGTTTCATAATGTCGTCTCAGATTATACTCTTTCAGTACCGCCACACTTTCTCCACACAGAAGACACACAGGTTTTCCAGCTACCTCCGTGAACATATACTCCGACTCCCACCTTGTTTCAAACCCCCAGTTCTCAGTGTCCACCTTCCGTTTTGCCATTTTTGATGGGTATCTGAAAGTTAATTTTACTGTTATGCTGACGACTGCTGTGCTAATAAATATTGAAATGAAGCAGCCTACTGCTCGGTGCGTCACCGTTGCATTGTGGGAAATGTAGTATTGGTGCGTGTAAAAGATCTGCGGGCTGCCGGCTTGCTGCGGTCTGCGGGCCGGTTCTAATAATAAATCAAGATCATCCCAGGGGCCGTAAAAAACCTTCTCGCGGGCCGGATGTGGCCCGCGGGCCTTGACTCTGACATATGTGCTGTAAGTCCTCCCTCACTCTCTACTCCATGTTTCCTGTTCCTCTTCAGCGCTCGGATCAATAAAAGGCATAAAGTCTTCAAAATGAACTTGAACTGTGACATGGAGGAAACAGGAGGATCTTTGTCTGCCTTCATCCCTCACTGTACACTGGTCTTCAACAATAACACTCAACCCAGAATAACAGACTGTGTTGTCTCTACTGTCAGCACTGGACCGGACCAGCCAGCAATACTCCAGATCTGAGTTCATGGAAGTCAGAGACAAACCAGAAATACTCTCAACCAAGAAGAGCTCAGTGAGAGCTAAATGTGCTGAGTCACCCAGGACACTGAGCGGATCTCCCTCAACCAGACTGGTGATAATTGAATATTGATCAGAAGAAAAATCTAAATGGTTCAAATAATATTGGGAAGAAGAAAATCTGAGAGTTTGGATCTTTAACTTATTTGGTTCAATCATAAAAGTGACGAAGAAAACTTTGTTTTTGTGACTTCAGTCATTGGAGCAAAGTGACAAAGTGGAAATCCCTGTCTGTGTCCCTCTGTCTGTGTGTCTCTGTCTGTGTCTCTAAAGATGAGCTGTGTTCCTGAGCTGCATGGATAGTGAGTTCACTGCATCCTTGAACATTTAAATGTTTTAGAGACACAGGAAGTAAACCCGTCAACATCACTGCAGTGATCATCTGAACCATCGATAAAAAATCATCAACATTCATTAACAAAATAACTCACAGTGCTCATTTTCCTCCATCTGTATCTGACTGCTGATTCAATAAAAACTATGAATTTATGTGAGTAAGAAGGAAGTTCTGGAAATATTCAAGAATTATATGGACATTTGAATTGGGTTAAAAAAATGAATAATCATAAAAATCTACACCAGAAACAGACAAACAATAAACTTACTTCAGAGTCTCCAGTTTACAGTTTGGACTCTGCAGAAAGTTACACAGCAGCTTCACTCCTGAATCCTGCAGATTGTTGTAACTCAGGTCCAGATGTCTCAGATGGGAGGGGTTGGACTTCAGAGCTGACGCCAGAGAAGAACAGCTGATCTCTGACAACCTGCAGTCATCCAGTCTGAAAAAAAAGAAAAAATCATTGGTCCTCTGAAGAAACTGTTCCTGCTTTTAATGATTCAATGTTCTTGAGCCCCTGAAGGACATGGAAGAAGAACTTTTTCAGAGTTGATCTTAAGGAACTTTGTAAAATCCTCTCTAAACTTTTTGAGTATCCCGAGGAATTTTTCAGTCGAGAAAATTTTAAAGAAACAGAAAACTTTAGTGAGATCCTCAGAAACTAATGTGAGAAATCTCAAAGGTTTTTTTGTAGTCCTGAATTCTTCATGAAGATTAAAATAGTCAGGAGTAGATTCAGGGCTCTGTCTGTCTGCTGTCAACAACTGTCAAACTACTCGTAAATAAACCAACAGATCATTGATCAAAGAGGTTTTTATGGACCAACTGGACAAGATGATGTTAATGTTCAACAAACTGAAGTGAAAACTGCAGAAAAATCTGGATCTGGTTTTTACATTTGAACACGACTGAGCAAAGAAGAAATTCAAGTTTTCAAGAGTTTCCAAATGAAATATCCAGAGTTGGATTAACTTTGTTCTTCAGGTTTCAATCTGCAGCTCATCATTTCTCTGACACTTCATTCATTCATCAGTGATCACATTAACTGTGGATCAGTTCAATATCAGCCTTTAGTCTGTGCTGCTCCTGCCCTCTACAAGCATGTGTAATATTTGTGGGACTGATTTTCTCCTGCTTCCTTTCTACATCCATCGTTCTCCTCAAAGTCGACTCTGAAATGTCGGATTTTTCTTCCTGTGTTGAAGTTTTACAACAACAAATTCAAACTGCTCGACCAAAGTTGATGGAAAAACCACAGAGAAAAATCTAAGGCAGCAGCTGTCACATCTTATTGTCAGATCAGAAGGAAATGGTGTCTGACTTCAGAGTCTCCAGTCTGCAGTTTGGACTCTCCAGTCCTGCAGAGAGCAGCTTCACTCCTGAATCCTTCAGTTTGTTTCTGTTCAGGTCCAGATATCTCACATGTGAGGGGTTGGACTTCAGAGCTGAGACCAGAGAAGAACAGCTGAACTCTGACAAACTGCAGTTATCCAATCTGAAAAAAGGAAAAAGAATGAAGATAAAAATAATAAATAATCAAACTTCACACGTTCAGGTTTAAAATATGGAGCTTAGAGAACTCCAACAGGAGACCTTTGGACCAGATCCAGTCTGTCAGAGCTCATTATCTGGTCTGCTCTGACCCTCCATGTAAAATAACAGACAAGACATCAAATGTGATGGAGCACTGGTTTGGATTAGAGGTTCAGGTGTTCAGAAGGTGGAGTCCTTGTTGCAGCAGTTGTTGCTGGTCGGACTCCCATGATCCTTTGCTGTAAGTCCTCCCTCACTCTCTACTCCACGTTTCCTGTTCCTCTTCAGCGCTCGGATCAATAAAAGTCTTCAAAATGAACATGGAGGAAACAGGAGGATCTTTGTCTGCCTTCATCCCTCACTGTACACTGGTCTTCAACAATAACACTCAACCCAGAATAACAGACTGTGTTGTCTCTACTGTCAGCACTGGACCGGACCAGCCAGCAATACTCCAGATCTGAGTTCATGGAAGTCAGAGACAAACCAGAAATACTCTCAACCAAGAAGAGCTCAGTGAGAGCTAAATGTGCTGAGTCACCCAGGACACTGAGCAGACCTCCCTCAACCAGACTGGTCTCAAGAGTTTGTATTTAGCAGATCCAGCCCATGTGAAGCTGAACCTGAATGTGCTCTCAGACTGTAACATCAGCGCTCTGCCAAACAGAGAATGGATGAGACTCTGATGAGACAGGTCAGCTGACTCTGTCTGCAACAACATCACCTTTACTGCTTTACTCTTCTCCCTCACCTTCATCAGGATCAACAAGGTCAGACAGCAGACTGATCCACTCTTCCTCTCACTTTGTCATTTATTCACTGATGGCTGAGTTCACTCACATTTCATTTAGTCCACTCTCTAATCGGGTTTTGCTGCAGGAACCTTTCAAACCATATGACCAGTTATTGAGCTGGCAGAAAAGAGGCAGTGGAGCCAAAACAGGAACCTGATAAATCTGATAATTGAATATTGATCAGAAGAAAAATCTAAATGGTTCAAATAATATTGGGAAGAAGAAAATCTGAGAGTTTGGATCTTTAACGTATTTGGTTCAATCATAAAAGTGACAAAGAAAACTTTGTTTTTGTGACTTCAGTCATTGGAGCAAAGTGACAAAGTGGAAATCCATGTCTGTGTTTCAGTGTCTGTGTGTCTCTGTCTGTGTTTCTGTGTCTCTCTGTCTGTGTCCCTAAAGATGAGCTGTGTTCCTGAGCTGCATGGATAGTGAGTTCACTGCATCCTTGAACATTTAAATGCTTTAGAGACACAGGAAGTAAACCCGTCAACATCACTGCAGTGATCATCTGAACCATTTTAAAAAAATTATCAACATTCAATCAACAAAATAACTCACAGTGCTCATTTTCCTTCATCTATATCTGACTGCTGATTCAATAAAAACTATGAATTTATGTGAGTAAGAAGAAAGTTCTGGAAATATTCTAGAACTATATGAACATTTGAATTGGGTTAAAAAAACTGAATAAACATAAAAATCTACACCAGAAACAGACAAACAATAAACTTACTTCAGAGTCTCCAGTTTACAGTTTGGACTCTGCAGAAAGTTACACAGCAGCTTCACTCCTGAATCCTGCAGATTGTTGTAACTCAGGTCCAGATGTCTCAGATGGGAGGGGTTGGACTTCAGAGCTGAGGCCAGAGAAGAACAGCTGATCTCTGACAACCTGCAGTCATCCAGTCTGAAAAAAAAGAAAAAATCATTGGTCCTCTGAAGAAACTGTTCCTGCTTTTAATGATTCAATGTTCTTGAGCCCCTGAAGGACATGGAAGAAGAACTTTTTCAGAGTTGATCTTAAGGAACTTTGTAAAATCCTCTCTAAACTTTTGAAGATCCAGAGGAATTTTTCAGTCGAGAAAATTTTAAAGAAACAGAAAACTTTAGTGAGATCCTCAGAAACTAATGTGAGAAATCTCAAAGGTTTTTTTGTAGTCCTGAATTCTTCATGAAGATTAAAATAGTCAGGAGTAGATTCAGGGCTCTGTCTGTCTGCTGTCAACAACTGTCAAACTACTCGTAAATAAACCAACAGATCATTGATCAAAGAGGTTTTTATGGACCAACTGGACAAGATGATGTTAATGTTCAACAAACTGAAGTGAAAACTGCAGAAAAATCTGGATCTGGTTTTTACATTTGAACACGACTGAGCAAAGAAGAAATTCAAGTTTTCAAGAGTTTCCAAATGAAATATCCAGAGTTGGATTAACTTTGTTCTTCAAGTTTCAATCTGCAGCTCATCATTTCTCTGACACTTCATTCATTCATTAGTGATCACATTAACTGTGGATCAGTTCAGTATCAGCCTTTAGTCTGTGCTGCTCCTGCCCTCTACAAGCATGTGTAATATTTGTGGGACTGATTTTCTCCTGCTTCCTTTCTACATCCATCGTTCTCCTCAAAGTCGACTCTGAAATGTCGGATTTTTCTTCCTGTGTCGAAGTTTTACAACAACAAATTCAAACTGCTCGACCAAAGTTGATGGTAAAACCACAGAGAAAAATCTAAGTCAGAACTGTCACATCTTATTGTCAGATCAGAAGGAAATGGTGTCTGACTTCAGAGTCTCCAGTCTGCAGTTTGGACTCTCCAGTCCTGCAGAGAGCAGCTTCACTCCTGAATCCTTCAGTTTGTTTCTGTTCAGGTCCAGATGTCTCAGATGGGAGGGGTTGGACTTCAGAGCTGAGGCCAGAGAAGAACAGCTGATCTCTGATAAACTGCAGTCCCACAGTCTGAAAAAAGGAAAGCGAATGAAGATAAAAATAATTAATAATCAAACTTCAGGTGTTCAGGTTTAAAACATGGAGCTTAGAGAACTCCAACAGGAGACCTTTGGACCAGATCCAGTCTGTCAGAGCTCATTATCTGGTCTGCTCTGACCCTCCATGTAAAATAACAGACAATAACAACAATAAGAATCAACCCAGAATAACAGACTGTGTTGTCTCTACTGTCAGCACCGGACCGGACCAGCCAGCAATACTCCAGAACTGAGTTCATGGAAGTCAGAGACAAACCAGAAATACTCTCAACCAAGAAGAGCTCAGTGAGAGCTGAATGTGCTGAGTCACCCAGGACACTGAGCCGACCTCCCTCAACCAGGCTGGTCTCAAGAGTTTGTATTTAGCAGATCCAGCCCATGTGAAGCTGAACCTGAATGTGCTCTCAGACTGTAACATCAGCGCTCTGCCAAACAGAGAATGGATGAGACTCTGATGAGACAGGTCAGCTGACTCTGTCTGCAACAACATCACCTTTACTGCTTTACTCTTCTCCCTCACCTTCATCAGGATCAACAAGGTCAGACAGCAGACTGATCCACTCTTCCTCTCACTTTGTCATTTATTCACTGATGGCTGAGTTCACTCACATTTCATTTAGTCCACTCTCTAATCGGGTTTTGCTGCAGGAACCTTTCAAACCATATGACCAGTTATTGAGCTGGCAGAAAAGAGGCAGTGGAGCCAAAACAGGAACCTGATAAATCTGATAATTGAATATTGATCAGAAGAAAAATCTAAATGGTTCAAATAATATTGGGAAGAAGAAAATCTGAGAGTATGGATCTTTAACGTATTTGGTTCAATCATAAAAGTGACAAAGAAAACTTTGTTTTTGTGACTTCAGTCATTGGAGCAAAGTGACAAAGTGGAAATCCATGTCTGTGTCTTTCTGTCTGTGTCTCTCTGTCTGTGTCTCTGTCTGTGTCTCTAAAGATGAGCTGTGTTCCTGAGCTGCATGGATAGTGAGTTCACTGCATCCTTGAACATTTGAAAGCTTTAGAGACACAGGAAGTAAACCCGTCAACATCACTGCAGTGATCATCTGAACCATTTATAAAAAATCATCAACATTCAATCAACAAAATAACTCACAGTGCTCATTTTCCTCCATCTGTATCTGACTGCTGATTCAATAAAAACTATGAATTTATGTGAGTAAGAAGAAAGTTCTGGAAATATTCAAGAATTCTATGAACATTTGAATTGGGTTAAAAAAACTGAATAAACATAAAAATCTACACCAGAAACAGACAAAGACTAAACTTACTTCAGAGTCTCCAGTTTACAGTTTGGACTCTGCAGAAAGTCACACAGAAGCTTCACTCCTGAATCCTGCAGCTTGTTGAAACTCAGGTCCAGATGTCTCAGATGGGAGGGGTTGGACTTCAGAGCTGAGGCCAGAGAAGAACAGCTAATCGCTGACAAACTGCAGCTCCACAGTCTGAAAAAAAGAGAAAAAATCATTGAACCTCTGAAGAAACTGTTCCTGCTTTTAATGATTTAATGTTCTTGAGCCCCTGAAGGACATGGAAGGAGAACTTTTTCAGAGTTGATCTTGAGGAACGTTGTTCAATCCTCTTCAAACTTTTTGAAGATCGTGAGGAATTTTTCAGTCAAGAAAATTTTAAAGAAACAGAAAACTTTAGTGAGATCCTCAGAAACTAATGTGAGAAATCTCAAAGGTTTTCTTGTAGTCCTGAATTCTTCATGAAGATTAAAATAGTCAGGAGTAGATTCAGGGCTCTGTCTGTCTGCTGTCAACAACTGTCAAACTACTCTTAAATAAACCAACAGATCATTGATCAAAGAGGTTTTTATGGACCAACTGGACAAGATGATGTTAATGTTCAACAAACTGAAGTGAAAACTGCAGAAAAATCTGGATCTGGTTTTTACATTTGAATACGACTGAGCAAAGAAGAAATTCAAGTTTTCAAGAGTTTCATTCAAATGAAATATCCAGAGTTGGATTAACTTTGTTCTTCAGGTTTCAATCTGCAGCTCATCATTTCTCTGACACTTCATTCATTCATCAGTGATCACATTAACTGTGGATCAGTTCAATATCAGCCTTTAGTCTGTGCTGCTCCTGCCCTCTACAAGCATGTGTAATATTTGTGGGACTGATTTTCTCCTGCTTCCTTTCTACATCCATCGTTCTCCTCAAAGTCGACTCGGAAATGTCAGATTTTTCTTCCTGTGTTGGAGTTTTACAACGACAAATTCAAACTGCTCGACCAAAGTTGATGGAAAAACCACAGAGAAAAATCTAAGGCAGCAACTGTCACATCTTATTGTTGGATCAGAAGGAAATGGTGTCTCACATCAGAGTCTCCAGTCTGCAGTTTGGACTCCCCAGTCCTGCAGAGAGAAGCTTCACTCCTGAATCCTGCAGTTTGTTTGAGGTCAGGTCCAGATGTCTCAGATGGGAGGGGTTGGACTTCAGAGCTGAGGCCACAACTTCACAGTGAGTCTCTGAGAGTCCACAGTTATAAAATCTGTAACAACATAAATATCAAACAATATTTCATTGAAGGGTAATTTGATGTTTCTCTTCACCAAAAACAACTTAAACATGATCTTTGGTTTGACAGACGGCCTGTTTTTAACCAGACAGATACTAATATCAGGACCACAGCCATGAGAGAAGACAGGAAGTCAAAGTTTAGAAGAAAAAAACTGTTCAGATGTTCAAGACAAATGACTCCATGACTTATTTTAGTCATTCTGTTCTCTAACAGTGTTGTCTTCATGTTAGTGCAGCTGGATCATTATGATTGTGTGAATTCTTGAGTTCTGGTTGGAGAAGGGGACTGAGAACCAGGTTTTTGGTCCTGGTATGTGATTGGTATTGATATCCAAAGTACCTCTTGGAGAATCAGTGCTCCTCTCAGTGTTTAATGTTGACATCCTGCTGTAATGTAAGTCTTTCCATAGACACTGACTGTTGACCAATCAGAGGACGACTCACTAAATCACAGCAGCTCCTTTTCCTATGATTGGTTCAGATCAAATCGTTTTTTAGCAGGTTAGAGCTGGTTTGACTCTGAACATTTGAAAAGTTGAAGATTTCTTTGTTTTCACAATTAAAGTTTTTTCTCCATGTAACTCTAGGGGGCGTACGTTCTCATGACTCCTATAAAAATAACAGATTGAATTTTACTAGTTTGTGTGTTTCATGAAGAAAGAAACATTTGGAGTCAGAGGAAATAAAACAGATTCATATTTGAAGATATTTCCATGACTTTTTTAAATGTTTAAACTAAATCATGAAGTGAGGTATCAATAATGAGTCCTGATAATATCAACATGGAGGATCAATATGTGTACCTGTATTAATTCAACCTAATGACAGTCATGCTAGTTATGGTCAAAAACGGACTTTTCTGCTCCCTAAAAAAGTCCGTCTTGTTAGTCCTTTAGACCTGGTTCAGTCTCACAGACTCAGACCTGGATCAAACCCCAGTCTGCTGCAGTGTTTGTTTAAAGGCTGTTTCAGCAGAAGGCAGCAGTCTGACCAATTTACATCAACATCTTAAACAGAGGCGTGCAGCCGAGTGGGAGAAATGTGACTGCTACAGCCCACCAACACCTCAACATTAGAGGAACCATCTTCACTCTGCATCACCATGACAACAAAGGGACACCATGAAAAAATGATGATGATGATGATGATGATGCAGTCACACTGCTTCTCCTTAGAGACATGGTGTCCATATATACAGTGGAAGAGCACGGCTGTTTCCACATGCTATGGGGTGTTATGAGGCAGACTAGTGTCAGTGCCAACCTGCAGCACCGAGGGCAGAGAGAGAGAGACAGAGAGAGAGAGAGAGAGAGAGAGAGACATTAAGATCCACCATTGTTTTCAGACACATGGAGCTGCTGTCCAAATAACTCCTGTGTTCTCATCATTCATATGTTCTAGTCCACCAGATAATCTCCAGTGAGTGGTGGAAAATGATGTTAGTTTTCATGGTTGTATTGATAATGAATACTGAATGATGAACATGATGGTACAGAGACAGTTCTGCCACTGTGTAGAAAATGATCCAGTTCTATTTTCACCATCAATGCTGTCAACACCCTCATTTACAACAGATTCATCATTTCCAACCTGAAAACCAGCAGGAAGAAGCTGCAGACACCTTCTTCAAACTCAAGTTCACCACAACTGACTGAGATGTTGATCTGGACTGATACCATCATCAGAAGACCTCTGTGTGTCCTCAGTTATGGTCGCTGATTTGTCCTGAAAGTTCGACTTTATTCATTACAGACACGACTCAAAACAAAGAGGTCCTCCACAATTAGGACAAGCTCTCAGGGGTCCACAGGTAGACCTCATCCTGGGCTCATAGGACTTTAGACACCAGGATCATGTTTTTGCCAAACCTAAAGAAACCCCCTCCCTGATATTTGAGTTGATTTTTATTTGAAGAAGAACATCATCAGTAACGTGGACATTAGAAGAACTACAGGGATCATTTACACTATTCTGAGAATAAAACCTGGACTTACTGAGCCTTTCTGCAGTTCCTCACAGCTGGGATCAGTCTCAGTCGTCCCTGGTCTGATGTGTTATAGTTCTTTAAGTAAAACTCATCCAGAACCTCCTCTGACATCTGCAGCATGTAGGCCAGAGCAGAGCAGTGGAACTCTGAGAGTTTCTTCTCTGATCTGTTCTTTGACTTCAGGAACTTTTGGATCTCCTGATGAACTGACAGATCGTTCATCTCCATCAGACAGTGGAAGATGTTGATGCTTCTGTCAGGAGAGATATCTTCACTGTTCATCTCCTTCAGGTTGTTGATGACTCTTTGGATCATTTCTGGACTGTTGTCTGTGTGACCCAGCAGACCTCCTAAGAGTCTCTGGTTTGACTCCAGAGAGAGTCCATGAAGGAAGCGAACAAACAGGTCCAGGTGGCCATTTTTACTGAAAAGGAATTTCATCATGACTCTCTTCAGGAAGTCATCCAGTTCGTCTTTGTGTTTGTTGCCTCTTAGGAAAGTCTTCAGAACTTTTGTGTTCCTGTTTGTGAAACTGTGGATCATGTAGACTGCAGCCAGAAACTCCTGAACACTAAGATGAACGAAACAGTAAACAGTTTTCTGGAAGATCACACTCTCTCTTCTAAAGATCTCTGTACAAACTCCTGAGTACACCGAGGCCTCTGAGACATCCAGACCACACCGCTCCAGGTCTTCTTGGTAAAACATGATGTCTCCTGTCTTCAGATGTTCAAAGGCCAGCCTCCCCAGCTTCAGGAGGACTTCACTGTCAGCCTCAGTCAGCTCCTGAGGACTTGTCTCATGTCCTCCTTCATACTTCTGCTTCTTCCTCTTAGTCTGGACCAGCAGGAAGTGTGAGTACATGTCAGTCAGGGTCTTGGGCAGCTCTCCTCTCTGCTCTCTGCTCATCATGTCCTCCAGAACTGTCGCAGTGATCCAGCAGAAGACCGGGATCTGACACATGATGTGGAGGCTCCTGGAGGACTTGATGTGTGAGATGATCCTTCTGGACAGATCTTCATCTCTGAACTTCTTCATGAAGTACTCCTCCTTCTGGGCGTCAGTGAAGCCTCGTACTTCTGTTACCCTGTCCACACGTGAAGGAGGGATCTGATTGGCTGCTGCAGGTCGAGAAGATATCCAGATGAGAGCTGAGGGGAGCAGGTTCCCCTTGATGAGGTTTGTTACCAGAACGTTCAGTGAAGACTTCTGTGTGACGTCAGACAGGACCTCAGAGTCTGTGAAATCCAGAGACAGTCTGCTTTCATCCAGACCGTCAAAGATGAACAGAAGTTTACAGACAGCCAGCGTCTCTGCTGTGACCTTCTCTAGTGTTGGATGGAAAACATGGAGCAGACTCAGAAGACTGAAGCGCTCATCTCTGATCAGGTTCAGCTCCCTGAATGAAAGCAGGATCACCAGACTGAGGTCTTGGTTCTCCAAACCCTCTGCCCAGTCCAGAGTGAACTTCTGCACTGAGAAGGTTTTTCCAACACCAGCCACGCCGTTGGTCAGAACCACTCTGACCACTTCCTGTTGACCTGGTAAGACTCTAAAGATCTCATGACACTTGATGGGCGTGTCATGGAGGGTCTCCATCTTTGAAGTGGTCTCCAGCTGTCTCACCTCATGTTGGGTGTTCACCTCTTCACTCAGTCCCTCTGTGATGTAGAGCTCAGTGAAGATCCTGTTGAGGAGGGTTTGACTACTTCCTGTTCCATCACTTCCTTCATTCACACGTTCACATCTCCTCTTCAGACTGATCTTATGTTCATCTAAAACCTCCTGCAGACCGCCATCTGCTGAAAGAGAAGAAAAATCAAATGAACCAAACTGCTCAACACGAAAACGTCTTTGTGAAAATCAGTCAGCTGAGTTTTCATCCACAGAGACTTTAGAGGACAGATGTTCAGACTTACTTCCATCAGAGCTGGACTGACTGTCTGTCTGAGAGACAAGAGCTGTTCTGGTTCTTTTTCCACACTGGGGACAGGAGGTGTATCCTAAAGAAGTAGACTGGTCCCTGCATGAGGCAAGGCACTGTCTGCAGAACCTGTGTCCACAGCGGGTAGAGACTGGATCCTTCAGGACGTCCTGACATAAAGAACAGCTGGACAGCTGCTCCTCCACAGAGTCACATCTCTGTGTCTCTCTGTGGAAATAAAGAACATTTATTTTCTTTATCATTTCATGTTTGAAAGATACAGAATAAGAATCATTTATTAAACCAGAGTTTGACCTCACTCTTTTCTCGAACATAAAACAATCTCCTGTAAAATATTCAGCTGCTGCTGCCTGAAAGTGTGGAGACAGGAGAAAAACTAAACTGTGATTTTTGATGGTGGAGAGATTTTCTCTGACAGTTTAAAACATTTTTTTAACCAATCAGATCTGAAGGTCTAATAACAGACAGATGCTTTGAATTCGTTTCCATTTCTCAGGATTTATTACTTCATTGGTCTTCTGGTATTTTGGGACCCACAGACTGTTTTCTGGGGTCTATACACCACAGTCCAAAGACTTACAGACTCAAAACGTCCCAAACACAGGAACCAAATCAGAAAATACAGAGGTCAGAATCCTTTTCAGATGCTGTTTTATACGACCTTCATTTTTATCAACATGATGAATAATAAGTAAATCTGTGCTCAGTGACTTTTTCTTCACCAGCCCTTTATCCAGGTTGGAGGTTTAAGAGGAAAATCAGCGTTTTGAGAGCAGAGGAGATCATTTTTCTCACCATGGTAGAAAACAGAGGGGTCAGAATTTAAAGTTTTGTTTTTGAAATATAAATTATTGTCGTTCGACAGTTTGGAGGTTGAAAAGTGTTTCTCTTACTGTGAATCTGAGGGTCCTGTTTCTTTCCTGAATTCTATGGGAAGACTTTTAGACCGGTCACTCTTCATAGACAGACAGTCGGACATGACAGACTTTGCTCTGCCCTCCTCTGAGGGTCCTGGTTCTTTCCTGAATTCTATGGGAAGACCTTTAGACCAGTCACTCTTCATAGACAGACAGTCAGACATGACAGACTTTGCTCTGTCCTCCTCTTCCTCGACATCATCACTCATCTTCTCCATCTGAAGTTGTGCAAATTTATGGAAGATGAAACCGAGTTATACAACCTGAGGACAAAGTAGACAAACAGGTGAGATACAAACAGGAAGAGAGTGTTCAGAAATAAAAGTAGACTCATGGACAGGAGGCCTTAAAGAGACAGCAGCTAAAATGAATCGTTTTAGGAGGAGGCTGAAATAATATTTTAATACAGCAGTGAGAAACAGGAGACTTTTTAAAACTGAAAATCATGTAAAAATATTAAAGAGGAATCAGAAAGAAAGTACAGAGTCTAAAAAAGCTTAATACCTCTCTTTATACAGTTATACAGGTTTAATATCCAAGAACTTCTGATGTCTCCCCACCCTGCAGGGCCTCTCTCTGATCCTTGTCAGATTCACGGTCAAAACAAAATCAGCTGTGAGGTCCCTGAACTCTCATATAAAATTAATGATAAAATTTGAAATGAGAGGCTAAATGAAAATATTCTCATTTTAGTTTTTACTTAAAAGACAAGTCTAAACAAAGAGGAGGAAGAACTGCACGTACACAGTTTCCTGTATCAAGAACTGATCCAGCTCTTTGTCTGCTCAGGTTTCTTTAACAGTTTTTAAGTGTTTTAGTCAGTAAATCATTTTTCATTAACAGATGATACAGATAAAGAGCTTGACACTAAAACAAAAACAGAGTAAACACTCACCCTGTCACCTCGTCCTCTACTCTGTTCTTTTCTCAAAATGGAGTCTGTTTTTGAGCTCACTTACTTTCACTTTCACAGAGACTGAAACCTAAACCATCAGATCACAGATTCTTCTCCTCCTGTCATTTACTGACAGTTTTTGATCGTCTTTAAACTTCAGTTTTCTTGACAATCATCTTCCTCTCCTGAGTCTGACTTAAAAAAAAAAGTTCACTAAAACAGGAACTTGTTTGGTTGAGTCTCAGTTTATTGTTAATGCAGCAGCTCCACCTGCTGGTCAAACCAACAAACTACCAGATGAGCGATCCTCTTCTCATATCCCAACAACCACAAATACAACTTTTATAATCAAACAGCTGCAGCTACTTCATATTTTTACCTTTTTTATTCTCTCTTAGAGACAGTTTGTTTCCTCTCCTTTCAGTCTTTTACTCTGTATGTTCATATTTCACTTGTTTTTTCCTTCCTCCTGTTGTTTTTACTGATGTTCACCTTTTTTCCAGGTTCACTTATATACTAATGAAACTGCAACTTAAAATACTACTATGCTTAGTTATAGTACTGGTTCTTATGTTTCTGCTAGTATTTAATTTTTATATCTTTACCAATACCACTAAAATAACCAAATGAAAAATGTAGAAGAAATGGCAGAAATATAGAGTAAAAAAGTCATCATGTAGAAATACTTAACAGGACACTCTCAGTCATCGAGCCTCTGTACTGCTGTTTATCCAGGCATGTTAGACTCAGTGTTGTAGCTGACCACTAGGTGGCGTTACTGACCTGATGTTGATTTTAACTGCTCTTTAAATCCAGCAGGTCAGAGGACTGAGAGTACGATAAAGGACAGCGTGAGGTCTGAGGATTTAAATTCATTTATAGTTTAGATTTTAAAGCCAAATTATGATTAAATCATGTTTAACTATAGAGGAAATAAACAAAATAAGTGTGGATCTAGTTCAGTCAAAGTTTGATTTACAGTGTAATAATAGGACAACCACTTAATCTTCAATAATCTTGATGTGACAATTAAATTATAAATCAAAACTTTTTAAAATCACAAAACTGCCAATAAAGCACAGACACAGTGTTTTATTTACCTCAAAAATGTCTGCTTCTTTTAAATCAAACTTTTGATCCAATCAGCTCAAACTATACCCTGATACATTTCACAAAAAGTGACACAAACTATATATTTAAAACCAGATGAGGATAAATCATGTTATTAATGAAAGAAAAACTAATTTATACATTTTTATTGTTTATCATCCAAAGCTTAACTGTGTGTACAGATTTTTATTAAACCAATCAAACAGGACATTTTAGAAATCTCCTTTATAGAAATTAATCAATAAATACACCAAGATGTAAGAGAAACGAAAGATGATAAAAATAGTTTTAAAAAGTGAACCATGAAAATCAGTTTAACAGAGATTCTGTAAAATAAATGAATGATTTTCTAAACTTTGAAGGATAAAGATCTTTCATGATTACAACCTCGACTCCTCAAGAGTTTGGACGCTGTGTAAAATGTTGATAAAGGTAGAATCTCTTTGAATCGTATATTAGATTAAATAAAGAGACAAACTGTGTTCACTGACTGTGGTTTTTAGAAGGGATGTGGTGACTTCCACTACAGAGTCTAGACTGTTTTTCTACTTGAAGGCCTGAAAATTACAATCTGAATCTTTTAATGATATTATGAACTCTAGATGATAAAATCCACCAGTTCTTTGTGAGTTTACACTCCTGAACATTATCTTGAAATTGTCACATTATTAGCTCACGCAGTCTCTCACAGTCTCATGTTGTCTTTGCACTCTTATTATTAAAATATAGATTTTTATTAATTTATAAACCATCAAATTCTGTTTTTATCGATATTTTACACAGCGTCTCATATTTTTGGAATCAGGGTTGAATATTTATGCTGATTTTTTTTTTTTTAAAACAGGACAAAAATATGCATTAAAGCTTTACACCTGCAAAGACTTGATATCGAGTCAAGAATCTTATAAATCTGTAATCATTTGGTACTTTGTTCTGCTGCTTCATACTCCTGCACATGAATAACTGCACGGAAAGTGTTGGGAAACAAATACAGACTCCATCAAAACTGAAGGTGAAAACATGAGAGTTTCAAAATAGATTCAGCAGATGTAAAATAAAAAGAGTAGAGATGATTTTTGTACTATTTTGTTGCTGCACTCATGCACATCGACATCTTTTTGGTGTCGAGATGTTAGAATAAAAACTTAAGACTCAACCAAGTGGTGAAAAACTTCCGAAAAGTCTCGTTTTGACCAAATTTGGAGCAGATTTCTGGCAGTTTCATATTAAACTGATGAGGACAGGAAGAGTCAAAAATAACAGCAGATGGGAAATGGACTTTGGCCGAAATCATTCTATTTTTTTGAAGCCGGTTATTTGACACACAGGATGTCTGTTTCAAGATTCAGAGTCTTGATTAATGCGAGTCATTTTCCCGCTCTTAATGAGGACTTATGTGCGACTGTGGACTCCTGAAACGCCGCTGTCCTTTTGCATCATCTGAAAACACTGCAGCTCTTTCTATCTCAACTGTTCTCCGACTGAGAGGATGTCTTTACATTCAGAAAGTAAAAAGTGAGGTTGCGTAGCGTCTAGATATTTGAGATAACACTTTTATCCTCCATCAGGCCGCTCTGTTGAAGTTCAACATTAAAACATCTGACATGTTTGAGTACGGCCCCCTGGTCCCCCTGCAGTGTCTCATTTACTTACACTGGGTGATGGAGTTATGATAGTAGCAGAGGACAGGAGATCTGTTTCCTTCTCTGCATCCAGCAGCAGCGTTTCAGTCCTGCCCTCCTGTTTGACCTCAGGGTGGGGGTGGGGTAGGGGGGATCCAGACGATCTGGTAATGATGTCACTTTTCCGAGCCTATCAAGACCAATTTGTGTACAACACAAGGACACGTGCACGCGGGCGCAGACAGACACACATGCAAACACACACACTATAATTAAGAAATAGACTTACATAAACAGAGAAATACAATATCTTAAAACCCATTTGGAGGGAGACGTGAAATAAACCTTCAGCTTATTACATTTGTCAGCTCATTCAAACGGACTGGTCCTCGCTCTTTCCTGCTGCAGACTGCTGAAATAAAGCTCAGGAGATGAGTGAAGTCTTGCCTGCTCTGACACACAGATCGTAAGAGAAAGATCTGGAAGGAAGTGAGCAGGCCGAGGAGAGGAGAGGCAGGTCGTGATGGTGGGATTTTTTTGGATCGGACCCCGGCTGGAGCAGGTTTCACCCTGGTCCTCTCCCCCCCCCCACCTCAGAGCGAGTGGGTGTAGAATAACAGCGCCGCGACCCCGCTGTCTCGTCCACATGACAGATTGACAGAAACACTATTTCTCTCTGTCGTTTTCTTACAGTGGAATACAAATCTCAGCCGCTTTCTTTTCTCTTAATGAGAAAGTGAGAAGTATGAGAGGGAAACGGAGAGGAAGGAAAGATCTGCTGGGACGGAGGCCAGCAGAGTCCAGGGTTTTATTTGTATCAAAAAGGGGCAGATATTTGTGGGTTTGGCGTCCAGAACTTTCCGTTCATAAATAAAACTGACTGAACGCTCGGTCTGCAATGGATCGTAGCAATCACTGCTAAACAGCCTGAAATGGATGTAAACACGTGCACGTACACTGATACTTACAGTCTGTGGAAGATGACATCTGATATCTGGATGGATTTATTGACCTTATATTTGATATCTACTTCAAGTCTATTTCCTGCTAATCCAGTTTTTTTGTGAAATGATTTGACAAAACTTTTCGTTTGCACTCCAAATTCTCAAGGCCAAAGAAAACACCTTTTTTTTTTCAGTGCAATAAATAAATACAGATTTCTATTAAAGCTCCTGCGAGGAGTTTTCGATATTTAAGAAAAAGAACAAAACTCATACTGATGGCGTCCTAGCACACTGAGTTCCCTCCCCTCCTTCTCCATCCTCTTTCTGTCCTTATCATCAACTTTGAATCATCATGTCCCGTCAGGTTCCTCTGGACCTCACCTCGGTGCGTCTCTCTTTCTGCATGAAGATCGACAGAAAATGGATATATAGAAAAAAGGGCAGAGGGAAAAGCTACGGATGACAGCAGAACAGTTTTATCCTGCATAAAGGACTAGTTCACATTTTTGAGGCTCTGTTTTCAAGTTTACAGAAAAAAATCCCAAATCAGTCCGTCTAGAGTAAAAGTTCAGATCTAAATGAAACTGAAGATACATATGAATACGAAATGCGCCTCGTTTGAAATAATCTCTAAATGTTTGTGAAAAGAGAAGGAGGCCCGGATATTTCACTCAGCAGAGGAGGGTTTGCAGACTTCTCTTGAGAAAATCCACAGATCCACGTCCATGAATGTACACATAACTTGGCTGAGTAATTAAAAAGCACAACAATGTAACACTGTGTAAAGCTCCGGGTTCATGCACTTGCACCGGGCGTCTGTTTGCATCCGGCCAGACGAGGAATGTAGATTTACAAGCCTGCACGGCCATGCAGATGTGGAACCAAAGAGCAAGTGTTATGGTGTATCCCCTGGTGTGCAAGTCCACCGTCCCCCCATCCCACCTATCCCCCCTCCTCTCCTCCCTCCCCCCACCAGCAGCAAGAGCTGCAGCATCCCCTGCTGGGCCCGGCCTGTTTATCTCTTCCGAAGCAGCCATGATTAATGAGGCCCTGAACACATCCTCTCTTTCCCCTGGACCCGGGGAGCCCCACAGCTGAGTAAACAGGCCCTGCTGCTGTTCCACCCCGCCGCTGCGATCCCGGGCCCTGAGGTGGGTCGACAGGGAAGCCCCCTTACTGCAGGTAGCAAAGTCATGAGATCTGTCAGGACTCTGCGGCCCTGAAAGTCCAGATATATCATGGCTCGTGTAAGAGATCCAAAGAGAAGTCATGTGGGTGTCAGTGGGTGAAAGAGTGAGGAAAAACACAAAGAGACCTCCAGAAAACCTTCCCAGCAGTCCCTCGCCTTGGACATGTGTGGCTCTCACGCACACACATTGCCTCCTTACGGTCAAGCGGTTCATGAGAGTCACGCTGGAGCTGCAGATTTAAGACTTTCAGACATTTGCATTTGAAAAGTATCGTAGCTCCTGAAACCTGCACAGAGCAACATGATAGTGATGACATGATAATCTGTTCTGGTACTGAGATGACACGGCCGCAAGTGTGATATTGCCTTTATACCACCGTCCTACGAGGTTCTGTCAATCAATCAGCCTTTTTTTATATAGCAGGCCGAAACCTGGAGCAGAACCGGACTCATGTTCGACAGTCATCTGCTGAGACTGCGTTAGGTTTAGAGAGGGGGGAGGGATGGATAAAGGTGAGATCGAAGCACGTAGGTCCATGGCAGCAGCGGTTCAGAGGAAACTACGTCATGATGGAGCTCAGGGACTCCCAGAGAAGACTTTGTCACAGGCAGGTACCAAGCAAGCTAACAGCGAAGGCGACTCGGAGTTGAGTTCCCTGAGTTTAGTTAAATTCGCTTTAACATTATGAGACAGATTGAGGAGCTGCAGAGTGATTATGTTGCATTTGTGTGGGCGTGACTTGGTGGATTTCTGTTCTTGTGATTGGTTAGATATTTATTTCCACTGTGCACATCACTGTTAGCCATCTGCTTCCTGCTGACACATGCTCTAATCTTAAAACATCACCCAGATAGTTCAGTGTAATTTTGAGGGATGAATATTCCTGCTTGTTTGTAAAAATCTCGGCTCGGGGTAATCCCAAATTCCTGCTCAGAGTTACATTTTGGCTGCAGATTCACAGCTTGATTTGTTGATCCCTGCGCTCTGACAGGTCGGCTAATCTGAACAGATACCTAGACGACAAAGGCATTACTTATGGGCAAGAAAACAACATAATTGCAGGCAGCATATGGAATTTCAAACAGCTTTATTTTCGCTGCAGTCGCTCCCAGAACCACCAGAATACAAGAACACAGAATACTTTCCACATGTCAAAAATCATCCATGATGATGACAAATATCTCCTGACTTGTGTACTGCTTCTGTTTTTTATCAGGATTTGGCCTCCTGTTGTGTCCAGCAGAGCTCTGAGTTTGTTTAGGACAGACGCCGGTGCCAAAAGTTTGTTTCTCATGTCAGGCTGCGGTGTCAAATGTTATGTTGCAACGCCAGCAGGGGAGCGTTCTCCTCTAACACCCCTGAACTGGCTTTAACAGCTCTTCACGCCCTCCACCGTCCTCCTCTTCACAGGTGATGTGAGAGGACGCACGCTATATGGCGCTCACTTCACTTTTGGGGCCGTTTGTCGAGGCATTTCCTCTTTCTGGGCGTGCTTGTCTTTGGGGGTGTTGAACGTAACACCCTGCAGGACACAGCACTGCTGCAGATGGGTGATGGTGAACAAACAGCTTTATGACACCTTTCTACAACAATTTGACCAGGTTTAAGTCCATGACACAGCAGAGGGTAGTGGTGTAAGGCAAAGTGATTGTGGACTGAAGACGTTCCTGGATTAGGGATCAGTCAGCACCAGTCAGTCAAGTCGAAGGCGCCTCTGATTTTCCAGACCTCAATATCATCCAAACTAATGAGTTTGAAAAGTATTTAGTTGTTTTTTTTTAACCAGGTTGTGAACATGTTAGACATGTTAAAAGAAAGTGAGTCCATAAAATGCAAAGACCGACTTATGAGGAATAAACCAAGGCCAATTGTCACTTGCCCTCAATTTTCCCACAATGCAACTGATTGCCATCTTTTGCCAAAGATGCTCATCCTGGGGCAGATCAGTATCTGTCAAAATACAGGCTGACAAGCTCATATCACTGGCTGTCTGTAAGAAAATTTCCACCCTAGATCACAGTTCACTCGGGACGGGAATTGAGAAGATTTTATCAATATCAATGCCATTACCGATTCTGCTTCTTTAACGATCTGCGATTCAATTCTTTAACGATTCCCTAATCGATGCCTTTCTTTGATTAAAAAAAAAAAGTAGACTACAGGTTTTCACTGTTAACTTAAAGTTTGACTGTGTCTCTGATAACAGAAAAAGATGTCTGCTATGCTTTTGCCACAAATTTTGTCACTGCACGATGACATTCATCCTCCTTCTCTTGTGCCATTTTACCCTTTGCTACAAGTCAACATTGGGGCAAGCAACATTAGCCGGAGAGCTAAAACTGCTAGTAGAAGCATCAGAAGTACTTGGTCCAGCGTTGCTATCGTCTAAGGATAATCAAACAACAAACTATTTGTACAGCGTTTACTTCGGTCGGTATTAAGTCAAATACTGGCATCCATTGTGTTTGTGTTAAAACAGGACATACATGTGCCGTGCCTAGACGGAGCAGCAGCGGCTAACAACTGGCGGAGAGCATCGAATACATGTGACTCCTTATATTTGATGCTGTGCCCCATTGACTAATGTTTCAGCATGTTCGTGGCGTTTCCACCTTTGCATGTTATCACTGCTCGACAAACGTTGCACGTTGAGCTGTAGTTGTCTTTCTTAGTAAAATGAAACCATACTTTAGATTGTTTCCGCCTACTTTTCGTACCATCCGCCATGTTTTTTTCCTCAAACTTACTGTTCTCGTTTGGGTAGACTGGCGCTCGCGAGGCACCCGGAAGAAAGTGATCGTTAAGATGAAATGTAAATGATGTCGATAGATTAAATCATTTGCAACCAGTTCTCGATTCCTATCCCTAGAGTTCACATTTCCTTTGGAAACCTGAGTGACTGAATCCTCCTGTTTTCTCAGGCTCGGTGGTCGTCCTTCTGATGAGTAAACTGAACTTCATGTGTAAAACCTGCGGAGGGAGCCTTTAAATGTGGATTTTTATTGAATGAAAACACTGACCTTTCATCACAGCCGTTAAAGCGCCTTAATAACTGTCACAGGCTGAAGTTTATCCTTCGGTAAAGTCTCTTTACGTGCACAGATCAGCGTTATTTAAAGTGATGAGAGCGGGTTGTGTCTCCATCAGGTCTAACTCTGCTTGCGCTGGATGCACATGTGTGAGTGTGTGTTTGTGCATCCATGTGAGTGTTGAGGAATCCCCTGGTAGATGATACCACAGTGCAGGCTGCAAGAGCCCATGTGTAATGGATACACTGGTCTCCAGGATCGGGGCCTTCTTTTCCAGTACCAAATGACTAACTGGCTGACTGGTTGGTTGTTGGGGGGCGCCTGGCCCGTCTGTCCCCATGTCTGCCCATCTGTCTCTGGGCTCAGTGTGGAGAGGTGTGGGCTGAAGGATGGGGAGCCGGGCAGATAAACAGTCATTAAGTGGTGACATGAGACAGAGGAACTGTGGGAAAGAAGACTACAGGACGGTAACCTGGTCAGACACGAGCTCTTGACATGAAAATAACGGGAATTTGCAACACGGTCAAGTTGATACTCGCTTCATTCACGAGAGTTGAAATATCTGAACTCTGGCTAATCGTTCCCACACAACAATAGCCAATCAGCATGGACTAATGGAGGAAAACCCGATCGTGATGGTGTGCTGGATGTTGATCAGAAGGGCCAGAATTCCATCAACATGAGCATCTACACCGATGAAGTTCACCTGGGAAAGAGGAAGGATCCATATGTTGCTGCTACACGGATCAGACACATCAGCCTTTGTGGGTTCGAAGTCTGAGGATCTCCATTTTCTGCTCTGGTCTTCCATCTTTTCTTCACCTGTTTGGCCCTTAAGGCGAATAAAGATGAGACCATTGTGGTGGCTTGAGTGAGACATCGTCCTTCAAACCTTACTTGCATAAAATTGTGGAGTTTCAACCAAATTTTGTTTGTTTTTTTCTGTTGCTGGTCTGTAATTGTAGCTCTAAGTATCTCAGGACAGGTCTTCTACGGTCTGCAGAGCCAAAGAGAACCAGCTGCTGTGAGGTTAGAGCTGATCAGGAGATGTAAATGTTGTGTGATGGTGTGTGCAGCTGCGTTTGTTATCAGCACCTCTCTTGGTTAGTGTTTGTGTGCGCAGTGATTCAGCATCGTTGTATGCATGGTCACATACATGCCCGTCTGAGCTCGGCCTCCCCCTGGAAAAGCTCTGACGCTTTTCCTCTGTCTGTCCGTCCGTCTCCCCGCATGTCTGTCTGTCCATCCTTCTGTCTATGCATCTGTCCGTCTGTCTCTCCGCACACAAACAGAGGTGCTGCCTTCGTGAGGCACAAATCCCCACTTCCTCTGAAACTTCCAGCGCCGCTTTTTTCCTGTCCAAATTCCACAGCCATTAAACTTTCCTGGCAGGCATTCAGAAAACAACTCAGAAGAGAGAAGGACGGGGGAGGGGAAGGAGGGGGAGGAGGGGCACTCCACCCTCCCACACACCTCCTCCTCCTCCTCCTCCCCTCTTCCCTCGTCTCCTCTCCTCTGGATATCACAGCCCTCAGCTCCTGCCGACTACCTTAAATAAAGACCTGACTTCATACTTGTTTTCGTTGCTGATCAGGTTTCCTCAAAGGTGTCTCCTGGTTTTCACAAAGGGTCACGACAAGGTGTCTGGGTGCAGCCCCTCCACCTCCTACCCCTCGTTCATGTCGCTTTACATCCACTCACAGAGCCGGGATGATATAAACCATGGTCAGATTAGTCTAAGGTAAATATTCAACTCCAGCCTGTGATTTTTCGGCTTTATTACCGCTGCTGCTTTGGTTCGCCAGCAGTAGTTTTACAGCACAAACAACATGGCCGCCCACTCAGCGGGACAGCTGAGGGAGAGGTGGTGCTACCGTGTTGGACGGCTTCTCACTTTCTCACTTTGGGTGGATAGTGTCGGAGGGAAATTACACAGAGCTTAGGTGACTTTACGGCCGTTTGCAGTGCCACAGCTGGTGTTCAGGACATAAAAAAGAAGCTGGCGTCAAAACTGCACATGCATAAAAATAATGTGATGTTTTTACGCTCTTATTGGTCTGTTGTGTTGCAGTGAGTCCTGCAAACCAGTCAAATGTTAAGAATGGCCTCTGCTGCCAAACTGAGAGGACATTACAAACTCCTCTCTCTGTTAAAGGTTGACATTGGACAACAATACAAATTAGGTTCAAAGGTTTCTTTATAGGATACCTGTGCACGGAATAGTGCAGTTTCTGAGGTTAGGTGGCTACAACACATACTAAAGTTTGGGGGAAAAAAAACATGGACATTGGGAAAGAACTGAAACTTTCCCAGTTTGTGTCCCAGTTTGATAACACAGCTCTGATGTGGTGTTACTCGGGTTAATTTTGAGTTTGATTAAATGCATAATTTCCACTAAGCTCTTTGTAATGAGGCTGGACATCTGAAATCAGTGCAGCAAAGGCCTGAACCACTGAAATGGAAATGTTGATTAAACATATTTTGGGGAAGGTGAACCGACCGGCTTTATTTGTGACTCATGACAGTAAGATAGTGTTGTTGACTCTGGAGAAATCTCCCTCAGGGATGATTCAAGAGGTCTCAGAGCTGCCAGGAGCTTCTGAACAGCTGAAGTCCAATTTAGGGAAGCGGCTTATGCTCAGGAGAAATTTCATGATCCAATCAGGACAGAGTCCACCAGGCTGAACGCTTTTTTAAAATGGAGAATAGTTCACTTTTATAAGCATTTCTTTACTTTTAGCTCTGTCATTGTAGGGAACGTGAAACCATGTCATCCAGATCGTCAATTATGAGGCAGATTTTTCAGAGTGTTTGGGTTTTAAAGTCACAATCCGTCGCCAAATATTCAGCCAACAAATTTGAATGATCTGTGTTTTTAAGTTTTCAAAGCTGCAGATTTTTTGTCCGCCGTTTTCAATTTCGAGCCCAGTGCCTAGGTGTTACTTCAGCCACTGATTTACTCAAATTTTTATATTTCCTTGATATTTACAATATTAAATATTGGAGGTTTGGATTATTTGTAAAAGAGAAAAGTCATGTAGACAAACAGGTTAAGCTTTGAGACCCACTTCCAGGTACAACAGTGTTTTGTTCTGTCTTTTTATCAGGCCTTGTTTTCGCAAATGGTCATGCATTGTCAGGCCTGTACGTCACAGAGGGTAGTAAGTTTGAAAACAGTCCTGAGCTCACCTGGACAGGTATTTTTTGAATTTCGAAACATCTTGTTTGCAAAGATGCTTCTGTAATGTGGCATGACATAAAAGTGTTAATGAAGAAGAGGGTCAAAGGTCAGAGGAGGTAGGAACAAGTCTCACTTTCATCCAAACCTGCACCCATACTGAAAACATAGGTCTGTAATGTGCCTTTGGTGTTGAGCCTTGACCTTTCCCTCTGCCACCCTTCTCGAGCTCTATCTGTTAAACTGTCCCAAACAGTTTCACTGCCGAACCAGCTGCTCGGACTTGTAAAACCACCAGGAGAATTGATGAAGAAAGAGAGCGTCTATGTGTGTGTGACAGCAGACGGTGAGGCCTGAACTCACCGGGCTAAATGAGAACAATCTGGACTGCCCGTGTGAGCCCACTAACCCAGAAAGGAGGAAAGAGAGAGTGAGGGACGGAGCGTGGGAGGCAGGGAGGGAGGGAAAGAGGGGAGGACGGGGGCTTGAAGCTCTCGTCAAAGAGGAGAGGGATTGACAGCAGGAGGAGGAGAAAGTTTCAGACACCTGCGGCGGAAACCCTCAGCGCTGTGTTTGGAGCTCAGAGCTGGTTCGGACCAGACCAGACCACGCCGGGCGAGCAAACAGCCGCACTGTAATAACTCAGGGAGTGGGGGGCTGAAAGGTGATAGCCTGGCAGGAATTGGTTTACAGCCAAGCTAGCCGACACTTGTGGACGCTGAGACTTCCCCTGCAGACGGAGCAAACTTGAATGTTTGTGTGTACAGACCTGCGGCGAGTGGAAACTAGATGATGGAAGAGGACGGAGTGATGAAGACTAACTATGAGGCTATGAAAGCCGGTGATGATAAAGTACAGCAGGGAGGTGGCATTTCTTGGCCCTCAGTTCTACCAGGTGTTTTGTGGAAAGACGAGGGTTTTGGACGCTCTCTGTGAGAGTTCCTGTCCTCTGTGGGCCGGGATTAGGGAATAGGATACAGGCGCTCGGTTTCACACCAGCTGGTACTGGAGATTGTGGCGTGTATGGGTTTGTTTGCCCCTCTTTTTGATGTGGTGTTAAATGGCCATAAAAATCGGGCAGTCTGACAGTAGGAAGTGTTGAGACTCGAAGAGATTAATTCAAAGCTGCAGCCGCAAAATGGACAAACTTTCCTGAAGACTTCCTCAGTTACATTTCCTGCTTTACAGCACTCACATCCTCAACAGCTTCAGCTTTCAGAGCTGCTTTATAAAAAATTAAGTAAAAGCCTGCCGTTACATTACACTGGAAGGGACAAATTCTCAGGTGACGGAGTTTAGATGGACAAAAACATTATCAAAATACACCAGAGTGGACAGATCATTACTGCAAAGTCATGAGGCATCCTTCAGGGCCCGTGACAAAGAGTGAGACCACACACAGACAGATTTACGCCATCAAGAGTGTCTGAGTATCACTGGAAGAATGGGTCCAAAGGTCTGAACCAGCTGGAGAGGTAAAAAAGACTTTAGCAGGACCTCAGCAGGAAAACACAGGACTGGGGTACATCTGACCTTCTTTTTGCAAACCCAGGACAACAGCTGAGAGAGCCTGAAGATCTGATAAAACAACAGAGAGGTCTCATATCTCTAAATGTGAAGCTCATCAAATCATAAAACTAATCCACAAAAACAGGATTTAACTCACACAGCCAATCCTACCACACAATAACAAAAAAAAAAAAAATGTAAGTAGCCTATAAATGTTCTGCTTTAAAAATGGCAAAAATACACTTTTCTTTAAAAAAAGGAAAAACTGGATTTCTTCAGCCATTTTTAAACACTGATAAAACAAAAACAAATGAGATTAGTTATAATAAAATGTTTTTTTTTTAATTTATGAAAACTGAAGCTTTTCACATTTTTGATGCATCTATTTAATATGTATTTATAGGACAACACTGCTTTCAAAAAGCTTAAAAATTCTTAGTTTGGTCAAAAATGCTGGTGAAAAGTAAAAAATGATGTTAGTGAACCTAAAACAGTGTAAGATCTTATTCGCCTCTTTGCTGCTGAAATGAACTTTTTTTTTCTTTGAACTAATTTCTTTTATCTCAATAATGATCTACCAGAAGAAGCGTATATGCTCAAATTTCAAAATAAAAGAATGATTTCACAATAAAGGTTATGAAGTGATATGTTGCCCTGTTCTTGTTTTTTCCTCTCCTTAATTTGACTGATTGTGTTTTTATTTTTCAAGTTTTCCTTAAGTTATACCCCTTTCTTCATTTTTTACTGCCACAATAATTAAAAGGTGGTAAAAATAAATACCTTTCCTAATTTTCATAGTTTGCCACATCATAGGTACTCCTCCAAACAACAGGCAGCGTATTGCCTTAATAGCCCTGTTTATGTTGCTGCTGCTTTGACTGATTCCCTCTGGATGGAGCTCAGCGGTGTTTGGAGAGCGGTAGGTCAACATTGAGCCGTGTCCACAGATGGTCTGCAGTAATGGCTCGTGTTGCTGTCAGTGGGGAGGGGGCTGGACCAGCCCAGGATAAATACTCAAACAAACATAGAGGTAATCCTGTGGTTGTTTAAGTTAGACCCTAATCACCTGGAAGCAGGCAAAACAACCTGTCAGTTTACAGAGACAAGAGTCACACGATGAATCAGACGATTAACTCATCTTCTGCAGCTTCATTCACCTCAATATTTCCAATGAAGAGCCTCATGATCAGAAAATTAAAAACTTCAATATGATTTTCTGAAAATGTATCATAAAAAAATGATACTTAAAACACAAAAATCAAACTAGCGGCCAGACAAAATCAACTTCATTCAACATTTTTAAACAGAAATGGGTGTTTTAATGCTGAACTAAGAAATCAATCAGTAATTGCTGCACATGCTTGTATGTATGAGTTATATTGTGTAACAGCTATGGCTTAGAGGTTGAGCCAGAAAATCTTTCTTTAATCAAAAAAGTCAGAGGTTAGATAGACCCTCGATGTCCCTGAAGTGTCCTCAGAAAAGACACTGAGACCCCAAACTGCTCTCAGAGTGTGAATGCATATGAATGGACTTCTACTACAGCACACTGTCACTGCTGTATGTATGTGGTGTGAACTGGTGAACGTGACATGTTACATAAAAGCACTTAAAGAGCTTGGAAAGGCCTGAAAAGCACCACACAAGAACGAGTCAATAAGCCAAGGCAATATAACAAAAACCGAAGGGGATCTGGGATGCACCCCTGAGGAACTCCAGAATCAACCTGAACACACTCTAAACTGTTTCATAGTACAAACAGGTTAAAATTACAAAACAAGACTGATTACTTTCTTATTACCAGAGTAAAATACTTGATTCTGATT